TGGTATTGTAGTACTTTTACTAACAGTGCTATAAAGTTTTTTCACCGGTGAATGACACATGATGTATTGTAGTAATGTTGTCTCTGGTCGTCTGGTGTGCGTATATGCGTTCAGGGGGCGTGGCTTTGGACGGCAATTTGCAGGGAGGGTGTGACGTTTGCTTTCAGTGCTATCAGGCTATAGTTAGCATTTTCCAAGATCTCCTACTGCACCTTTAAGCCTATTCCTAAGCCTGTTGAAAAAGGCTCATAAGGTATTAGACACAAAGCCAAATAGTTTCCATTGTTTTTATTTATTTTTTTGTATTTATTTATTTATTTATTTGCACTGGATGGAAAAACTTTCAATTAGCTGATTTAGTGTTGTTTTTAAGATTCTTAACAGTTCTGTTCCACCCATATTCATAAATCAAATAATAGGAAGGTATACAAGTGCTGCTACAAGGGGCAATTGTAACAAACCATTTTAAGTAGTACATTTTAAGTAGTAGAAGAAGTACGGTTTAGTCAGTTATCATTTGCCTTAAGACGAACCCAGGCAATGACTGGAATAGACCCTAACAGAATTAAAAACAAAAAACAGTCATTGTGGTTTCTCTAGAAATGAAAACATTTGGTTGTCAAATCAAAATTGAATATGAATATTTATAGGGATTTTAGCGTAATAATTTTGCATTTATATATTGAAAACTTTTTACTTTTTACATCAACTACAGATTACCTTGGTTAATTATCCTGGCTAAATCTGGCACATTTTACATTCATTCTGTAATATTAATATATATTGTCCCTGAATAAAATAATAATAATAACTAAACAAAAAGATAGAAGATAGAGTGAGATAAACACTGATTATAAATACATTAGTTCAGAAATGTTGTGGATTATTTTTATTTTTAATACAGAGTTATTATCTTAGCAGCATGTTAATGCAAGCTCTATTGGAATCAATTGTGCGTTAAGTCTCCCATACACTTCACATGAAAAGCACTATTTTGTTGGGCTAACATGCCGTTTGGAGTTACTGTCTGTGTTTACAAATCTCCTTTGTCATGAATCCAAGTCTGATTTATTTTTTGGAAATAGCTTTTTTTCTTTAGTTGGCAAGAAACCCACTAAACAACATTTAGGCTAGTTTTCTGAAATGCACACTCGGTAGAAAATTTATGGGTAACTATGGTAGCTGGTTATTGTTTTCTTTCACTCAAAACCACGTATGACATGCTACTGACTATGTCTCTGCCTTCATTTAATTTTTATTAAATGATTCTGTTTATTTAGCAAATAAATGTGGACAAGGAGTTTTTATAGACGAGGACAGGAAAGCAGTTTTTGGCATTGTGCTGCAGTGGACTGTACGAGCCACTGCTACACTCAATCAATCAATCAAGATGCAGGAATGTACTAATGGCTGGAAATTAAACACAATTGAAGAATAATCATAGCTCACATAATGTGCATGCATGCATGCGATTTGATTTTATTTAATTTTCATTTCACGCATGTAAACATGACCACAATTTCGATTAGTTGTGGCTTGCTAGGTTGTCCATTGCTCTCGACAGATAATTGTTCCATAATGAGTGGTCTTGTCTCACTTTTAGAGTGATTATTTCTCTCACAGCAACACTGTGAAATACGATAAATTGATATCTCAGTGGGAAAGTTGAGCGTTCATCAGTCATATATTCTGTTTTTTATTCATGGAATATTTATCTGGGTAAAGAGTCTCTGCAGAATGAATGGTGAGGTATGTTAAGTTAGCGTGTGGCATCTTTAACATCCAACACACTCTATAGCCCTATTCGCACGGGATTAGTATTATCTGGGGACCTCATGTGAAAACCCCCCACATCTGAATTTTGTGTGGTGCATTCGCATGGGACAAGCAAAGTCTGTGATTTTACTCGAAATCTTGGAAATGTCTTATCATTGTAGGTCTAGCTGTATGATATATCATAAACAGAAAAATGTTCCTTACCGCATGCTATACATGTCATCTATCTCCATGTAATCAATCTTTTTCTTTTCGCTCTTCTGATGGTTTTCAGCTTTCTCTTTATGCAAATTGTATAGTTGTATGGTTTATAGCGATATGACCCAGCACCCAAAATACTATCAAAACACTCCAACGCAGCCTCCATTCCTTGCAAAAGATGGATAAAAAGGTGCACAGGAATTATTATTATTTCCAAGAAACAGCACAAAGTTTCGGCCTGTCAGGTGCCTGACGAAGACCTGAGTGGTCAAAATGTTGCGCTGTTTCTTGGAAAAATAAATGGTTTTGTATGTATAATTTTCAGTGTGTTGACATTATTTTTTGTTTTACATAATTGAAAGGGGCAACAAAACGTATCACCAGTGTTAATAACACAATTAACAGGAAAATACTGTAAAGCAGTTGGCATAACTTTTTCATGCCGCAATGCAAAATGCAAAACTCCAGCACTGTTACATATTAAAAAGTCGCGACATGTAAATGGAGAAGTCGAGTGTGTGTGGGGAAGTCGTGGCCTAATGGTTAGAGGTTCGCGTCTCGTACCGGCAGGGATTGTGGGTGGGGGGAGTGAATGTACAGCGCTCTCTCCCACCTTCAATACCACGACTGAGGTGCCCTTGAGCAAGGCACCGAACCCACAACTGCTCCCCGGGCGCCGCAGCAAAAAAATGGCTGCCCACTGCTCCGGGTGTGTGTTCACGGTGTGTGTGTGTGTTCACTGCTGTGTGTGTGCACTTTGGATGGGATAAATGCAGAGCACTAATTCCAAGTATGGGTCACCGTCATTTTTTTCACTTTCACTAAAGTGAATTTGTACCGTACATTGTGCTGTATACTACAAGCAACTGTTGTTTAGAAATGCTAAAGAAATAGTCATTATTTGAAGTCAATAATTAAATTTGAGAATGGGCACATAATAGAGGTCCACTCCATTTCACTAAGGTCCCACCCTCTTGGGGATTTCTGGCCTCGCCACTGAATCATGCAAGAAAAAAAAGTGCACAAAAGACTTCTTATCCGAATTGTGGAACAGAATTTCAAGAAAACAGCCATTTCTCCTTGTTATACATAGAGACTTTTGTTCACGAGTCCAAGTCATGTCTGATATAGAGCTTCCCAAATCATTCCATTTCACCAAGACAGAGTGCTTTCATCTGAGTGGGACAGAAAAACTAGTTGACGTCACTAATCGACCTGTTATATAGAGTTAATTTTCAATATTCTTGTTGCAGTTGTTGATTTTGTTTAAACGGGGTATATAAATCATCTCAAAATGCTTGACTCATGAATATTAATTACATGATAGTCACACCTGATTTGGTGAAAGGCACATGATGGTAGATAGGCAGTAGCCATAGTCGGGCTGTCACTTGGCGTTTGTGTGTTGTCAATGCAACCATTTTGTGTCTGCTTACAGTGTTTTCTTAGCAGTCTTAAAATGCAATGCTTATTTGCCAAAATTTGTTTGGAGGGACTGCTATCCCCTGACTGTTACTTTCATGAAATTGATTTACTTTTTTATTGTCGACTGCCGTATTATCATTACAAACTGAAGGTGTTTGGCAGGCTTTAGCTGTAATGGAGTGGATTTGGCTGCTTTAGGCGCCGTGTGGTGTTTGTAAATGGCTGCCAAGACTTCAAGAGGGTGACCGGAGTGTCATGATGGTCCGATCCAAAACTAACAGGAGCATCATGTACCGTGCCAGACGAAAGCCGAACAACATCCCTGGATCTCTGCCACAGTCGTGCGTATGTGGTTGTGTGGGGTGTGAAAAGCGTGTGCGCAGAATCTTTGGCCTACCGCCTCTATTATATTTGGCTGTGTTCTAATCTGCCAGAGTCTGTTAAGTGGTCGGTGTTTGCGTTCTCTCAGCTACAGCCAGACTGTATGTGTATAGACGCTCTGGTGTGGATGGTTGTATTTTTGCGAGGAAAGGTACCGTACCACCAAAGGTTAATTAATCCTTGGAATATTGCTGTGTGTGTATGTCAGTCCTGAAATGTTCAGCTTCCCCTCTGTGCTCACAGATGCCCTTCACTGTTGGATGGTGAGGGTATTTATTCATCCTATCATGCCAATAGGCCCAGAAGGGGGCGGCTTTACTGCCAGCTCACTCCCTCCCCCACACGCAAACCTGCCATGGTTTAGCGAGGATCCAGTCTCTTTATATTTTGAGATATTTCTTTCTCTCGCTTACTTGGGCCAAACACGCTCCTGTTTTCCTTTGTGAAACTGTCATGTATTGAGACATCTGTGTTGTGGCTGTAATTACACATTACGCACTGGCAGTTACTTTACAACCTACAAAAAGTACCAACAATTTGTCTGAACCACACAAGCTCCAGGCACATTTAACGGAGAGATTTTGGTTCGTATCCATGCCCCGAAACTGATCCTGCATAATTTCCTGTTGTGGTCAAAAAAAAAAACACGTTTTTTAAATACCTAATACAATTTAATGACGACAAAAGAAGCATACACAAACGTTTAACTCAAAATTTGCAAAAACCAGGCTGACAAAGCTGTCAGAAGATTTTGTAATGATACAAGAAGGAGTGAAATCTTCTGTTAATGCAGGGATGTCCAAACCTGCTCATGGAGGACCAATGTCCTGCAGAGTTTAGCTCAAACTTAACCCGCCTGAAAGATTCTAGTAACCCTGAAGACCTTGATTAGCTGATTCATGTGTGTTTAACTGGGGTTGGAGCTAAACAATGCAGGAGCAGGATTCGACACGTGTTAATTGATGGTTTTTTGGACTACGCGATCTTAATCAGCTTTGCTGATATATTGATCTGTTTTCTTCATCTGACTACATTCATTATAAATAAAATGAAATGAAAAATCCCCAAAATACTAATACAATAAATAAAAAAAAAACCTCAACAAAATAGTTTGTACACGTTTGCAAGAACGCTGTTTGGTTTGAATGATGCAACTGTGATTTCTCTCTCTAAATTCATGCTTGTGCTTGATGCCCCATTATTCTTTTTCACTCCAGATAACAAGGGACCTGAAGCATTATGATAATAAAATAATTGAGTGCACGTTCGTCAATAACACTTGGGTGTTCATGCGACAGAGGACGGACAAGAGCTTCCCCAACTCATATGACACAGCCATGGGTAAGGATTCACACGTGTTATACTAAAGCCAGGGTCAGTATTAGATTCTGTTTAGTTGACTAGATGAAAACCATACTCCTAAGGCTAGAAGCATTTTTGCACCTATTTTCATTGTACGCAACATGCTATATAATAGAGTTACCTTAAAAAAGGGCTGTGCATCTCTGTCCTGTTGAGATCCTATCTTAGGGGTTTATTCTAGCGGGTGTTTACGCAACTCCATTTCCAACTAAAACCAAAAATGTGTTTTGGCGGTTCATTTACACAGAGACAGTGTTTTGGGGGCCTGAAAATGCAAACTTTTGAAAACGGGTTTCAAAGTGCAAGTTTTTGAAAATGAAACCATTATCTCATGTAAACTACAAAAACAAATTTGTGTAAATGGTGACGTCATTTGCATGCATATTACATGTTCAGTCTGTAGGAATGCATATATGCGTAGTGTTTCTTTAAAAAGTGACATCGCCAACTACTGGTCTGACGTGCATAATACAGCATTTTTAGTCGTTTTCATAGGTCCATGTGAATGGGAATCATTCTGTACACAAAACTTAAAAAATGAATTTTTAGTACAATCGTTGTAGTGTGAATGTACCCCCAACTGTCAGATTTGCCCACCCCTGCCTTAAAATGTTTTCACCATTAATCTTTGTTACATCCAGTGGGGACATAATTACTGATTATAATGACTTTATATATAAGAATAAGAATACTGTCTTTTTATGTGTTGCATTGCGTATCATGCCGCGTAAACATAAAACCATGTCTGCATTTGTGATCGGAGAAACGACAAACAACAAGTGCTACTCT